TTTTTTTTTACTAAGAGGTCTTTGCTTTAAATTCACTGGGATGGCACCAGTGAGAATTAACTGAAAAGGTCTCTTAAGTGAGACTGCACCCTCCAAGCCTTTGAAAATGCAGTGTACCCTTGTGCAGACCACCAGCCAAGATCTCATGAGTTGAAGTGTGGCAGCTGTGCTGATACCAGCTGAAGGACAACTGATTGGACATGTGAAAGTGTGTCTATTCCCCAGCATGCATCAGGCCACAGTCCTCTATTTTGCTCCTGTCTTTGACACCCTGCTGCTCATCCACTCACTCACTCTCTCTCTTTCCCTCTCTCATTCTCTCTCTCTCTCACACACACACACACACACAGGCATGCACACACGCGTGCACACACACACACACACTCTTCTTTCCTCACAATAAATCAAGTGGGCACAGGCAGGCCTCCAGGAGGAAAGGTCTGTAAGTGCAACACAAAATCAGCAAGTCCCCATCCAAGCCTCCATCCTATGTTATGCATGCGACAAAATTTGGCAACAGTGGAGCAGATGTGATGACACAGCTAATCAATAAGAACCCACTGCACGGAACCTTTATAGTGGTTACTTTTTTAAGGGCTCAAGTGAAGAAATGGTCTTTGTCAACTTTGGCTGAGAATATCCTTATATAGTTCGGGTACTTTGTCAGGGTCCACTGGTCTTGGTAAAAAATGTGTGAATTTCTGGTGCCGTTTAGTCCTCGTTCCTTCTCTTGGGGTCCCATCTTTATTTAATGCAACATAGTATCTCCTTCCAGTGTCCACATGTTTATAGAGATTCGAAGAGTATGTGTTATACCAGTTTTCTTCGAACTGTTCTCTGAATACACACTCTTGGGTTAGTTTTTCCTGTTTAAAAAAGAAGAAGAAGCAAATAAGTTTTCTGAAAAATTAACTACTTTCTGCATTTAAAACAATTTTCAATTGCTACACATTATAACTCTGGCGAGAAAATGGTGATTTTAACCTACTATAACCATTTTAACACATTTTGCCAAAAGTGCTTAACTGTATAAATTTAACGCATTCTCATTTCTTATTCAGAATGATTAAACCACAAAAGATTCCAAATATTTTTTAGTTAGACTTTTCCACCTGCCAATTAGAATGAGTCAAACAGGCAAAGGACAACTAACAAGATGAGTTGTTCTCATTTTTACTATAGCAATTAGGGTGATGACCATCCCAGCAGAAACCAAAGGTTCAGGTAACTGCTTCATCTTTTCTGTATTTTCCATAAAGTACTTGCTACAGAGACCAACATGAGCAACATCACTAATGATGTCAGATGTTGTCTGACCTTTGAACAGTGGCATTTGCTTATCTCTCTATAAGCATGGTTTTCAAACATCAGTGTACACAAGAATCACCTCAGATGCTTTTTAAAATGCAGATTTCCAACCCCCAATCCCTTAAAATTCTGATCCAGAAAGCCTAGAAATATGCATTTGTAACAGGCCCTTGGGGGAATTTTGATACAGATGCCCCTTGATCCACATTTTAAGATAGAGCGCTTTTGGTCATGACTGAAGTGAAAACAAATATTTTAGCCCTCCTATTTCCCTTTACTTCAATGGTAAAAGAACCCCCCACCAACTTCAAAAGCCACATTCTCAGGCACACAGCTACCAAGAGAAAAGCTGCACTAATTCCCACATTCATAAAGCAAAAAGGTTCCTCCACCCCAGAACCTGGGGCTTCTGCGGCCTCCTGTCATGGGCAGGAGTAGTGACCAGAAACAACGTGCACATTACACCCCAGAACCATGAACAATGCTCCAAGCACAACCTCGAGCTGTTCACCTGACACCTGGAGAAACAAGGCAACAGACTGAATGGCCTCTCTGCTCTTCTCATCCCTGAACTGAAACGTTTAAAATCAATCACTTCCTAGATAGTACTTTTTAAAAATAAACACAAAAATGGCTTTTTTAAATCTCCCCCTTGCTCTTGCCCACCTGGCACCTTACATAAATAAGAAAAATAAAAATAAATGCACACACACAGAGTTAAAACAGCAGAACAGATCAGGACACTTGACGTGCTTTCAATTCTGTCATTCAGACTCAGAGGACAGACAGCAAACTATACATCACCAAAATACAGATGTCCTTTCTACATGCACACACCTGAGAACACAACTTAGGGCATTGAGTTCATAGATATCAGCTGGGCAGAATCCATCCTCTCTGACTGCTGTGGAGTAAGTCAGGAGAGCAAAGGAGAGGAGAAAGGCAGAGTCTGACAAAATCAGTAGTCCAACAAAGGCCACCTCTCGCCTTCTCTTCTTTAATTTACTGAAGGCTTAAAACCCACACAAAAGTGCACAAGGGCCTGTGCTTCCTGACAGGTGCTCCTCCAGAGATCAGGAAGCATTGAGTAGGTCTGTAAAAAAATTTTATCTCATTGGACAAGTTTTTGCTAAGTGAGTGGGGAAACAGAAATTAAAAACAATGCATCTAGCAAGGACAGAAATGATGGGAAAACTGAACAGCCGATGCTGGGTGTATGGGGACAAATGGGTGGCAGGGAGTGAGAAGTAATCCATATCCCCCTCTATAAAAACCACTCTCTCTTGGGGTGCCAGGAGAATTGTGCAGGAAGGGGCCCTTTGCCTCCTCTACACATAAACTAGAGGTACATTCTGAGGGGCACCCACCTGCACCCTCTGCTCTGGGGAGATGAGGCTGAATCTCTATTAAAACTGGTAAAATTGCCCAGCCGGGCGTGGCTCAGCAGTTGAGCATCTACCTAGGATCCAGACCTAGGATCCAGGAGATCACAGTTCAATTCCCTGGCCAGGGCACACGCCCTGGTTGTGGGCTTGATCCCCAGTGGGGGGCATGCAGGAGACAGCGGATCAATGACTCTCTCTTCATTGATGTTTCTGTCTCTCTCTCTCCCTCTCCCTTCCTCTCTCTGAAATCAATAAAGATATATTAAAAAAAAAAAAAAGACACTAACAGCCATTTCAATCTTTCCTTCCATCTGTATAATAAATATTGTCCTCACAAACAAGATTATTCATAGCTAAAATGCTGGTTTGGGTTTGCTGTGATTAAGTTAAATTTTCTAAACAAAATTTGTTCACTTTTACCTAACTTCATAAAATGGACCAAACTATGGGATTGTATAATGAGCTTTAGTTCTACAAAGCTAATTCAAACTAAGCTTTCTTTTTCTCAGCAGGAAATCACATTAGTTGACAGACACTTTCCTTAAAAAAGCAGAATTCTTCCTCCTCCTTCTGGAACATGAGTTGTGCACTAGCTTGTACACACATCACACCTAGTTGTGCACACTGTCTTGGATGAGGAACACACACAGGTGACCTCAGCAAGAAACAGCTGGCATGCAAAATGGCTCTGGAGACTGAGGCCCATGTGGATTCCAGCTTTGCCCCTCACTGGCTGTGAACATTTATAACTACTTACTAACCTCCCAAATCTCGGGAGCCCCACCCTTAAAGCAGGTGAGGAATAAGGATCTTAAGAGACGACTGTCATAAATATGCATGCAAAGAGCATTGTCTGACACACAGGAAACCTTCCATAGACAGTGCTTAAATTAACACCATAGCCTCTCAGAGCTGGAACAGGCCTTAGGAGACAGCTGGTGCAACTCTTCCTGTCAAATATGCGTAAAGTGATCTGCCCCCATCTATGCCACAGGATCTCTTAAGAGTAATGAAACCACTAGAAGTCTCCAGGGTCCCTACTGGAGATGCAGGCCCTTCTGTTTTCCACTTGTCACTAAGCAGTGTGATACCTCCAGACCCTAGGTCAGTCTGTCCCAGAAGTCTTTTGATGCTGCTCCCCAAGGTTCAGGCACTGGGAGCTGTGCAGGAGACAGGCTGGAGTACAGCCACTCTTACCTAAGACTCATATGTGTTTCCTTCCTTCACTACCTCAAAAATGTAACTTTTTAAAAACATGACTTTACAGGAGGAATGAGAACAGATTAAAAAAACAGATTATGAACAAAATTCTACAGTGGTAAGTATATCGCAGTCTAACAATGAAACACATTTATTTTCAACATTCAATAAAAGGTTTTTATATTACATTTTTGGGGTTTGTTTTTTTGTTTTGTTTTTTTAGTTAAAAAAAAAAAAGCTTTAAAAAGTTGAATAAGCTAAGAAATTGAATGGGCCTTTTCATTGCTCAGTGAACACAGTAGTATTCCCCTACCAGGCTATTTTAGCATCATTTATACATACATAATGTAACTTTCTAGGCAACCCTGAAAATATTTCATTTAAAATAGTATAATCTAAGGCCCGCATTTGTTGTGATGGTTAAGAGTTCAGCTGCTTCATATATGGGAGGGTTGTAGCTTCCCTTAACAAGTTAAATGAGGTTGTGCAGACATTACATTGCAAAACCACTGGGACCTTTCAGCTCCTGTAATTATTACAGCTGGTATAATGCCACTCAGACACACCTATATACCTTAAAAATTTTTAATGACCATTAAAAATTAAAGACCGTTTTACTTTTCTGTATCATGTACATGCTTTTAAATAATTTCTTCCTCTTATTGGGAATTATGTTAATGTGTGATTATTTTTACACAGATCAATAAAAGTAGCAATATTTACAGAATTAATCTCTTTCTGCTCACACTTCAGTACTTAGTGATAAAATATTTAATTGAGGTGAATATATTTATGTTATGCATTTGTACTCCAAAGTGACTTTTCTAAATTAAAAATAAGTAAATGAATGCAAATTGGGACAGCAAAAAATATATTAACCTGTATTCTTATAAATATATGCAGAGGAGAAAAAAGTTTCTGCCTTCAAATAAACGACACACTTTAGAATTATGGAAGTCAGATGTTTGAAAACTACCACATGTTTCCAATGCAGACAGTTTATAGAGTATTCCACTATAAAGTGATCAATTCTTATTTTATTGTATTTCCATGTTTTAATTTTTTTCAGATTATTTCAGATTATTATAGCTGTTTATGGCATACCTAGCTTTGAAATGTTGGATTCTATCACTAGGCTTGGGTGAAGAATGTGGATTTAATTCAAAAGTCTACTAAAGCCCATGCTTTGGAACAAAACCTGGTGAATGTTAGCAACTATGGAAATCTCTTTTCATTTTGTATCACCAAACTCTGAGCAGTCGGGAAAAACTGAAATTAAAACTTCAAAACTTTTGCCAATCCTATTAAAACCAAAGGATGAGATAATAATGTGAAAATTACAGTACACCCCAGAAAATGTTTAGAGATGTTATAAGATATAAACTCATATAGACAATTAAAAATATTAGACAACTGAAAATACGTAGTCCACATGGACTTTACTATGCCCAATTCATATCTATAGCCATTTAAAAAACTGAAAACAGAAATTTTCAAAATTCGAGAATCATTTTCCTTGAAAATTAATAAACTTTATCATGCTATTTTAAAATGTGGTTTCCATATTTATATATACATGTAATATAGATGGTGTAACTTAAACCACACTATCAAAATAGTCACCTTTATCCAACTCAAGAGGTTGCTTCAACTACTTGCATGAATCTGAGGTGGGTGATATACAGAAACTGAGTTCCTGAATACTTTGTAAGTTAATGATTTGATGCAATAACTAGCTCCCATATCTGCTCTTTATTAGTCATAGTATTTAAACATCCCTGAACCACAATGACCTGTACTTGTGTAGTCTTCGTCATTGACAATCTAGCAGTAATGTCTTAATGGGAGTTGTTGCAGGGATCAAGGTGGTTAAATATAATGACCATTAATAAGAAGCCAGATCTTTTAACTCTTCTCTCCTTGGAGAAGTCCCAAAGTAGACAGAAAGCAACTCACACAGAGAGAATAGGAAG